AAAAAAAAGGATGACCCGTGGTCAAGATTGCAAGCACAGCAAATTGCTGAAGTGAAATGTCACGATCCTCAGAAAGAGTGCTCTCTTTGGTATGTACTACTAGTAGGTGTATTCTGTAATATCGAGCAAGGCTGGATGAATTCGAGGTGAACATGCTGGTAATCTTCCACCAGGTCTTGGTGATAACAGCATTGGCTATCATGAAAACTCGATTTAATGTGTTTGCTCAAGCTCCTGATCGATGGGACAATCAACATTTTCGACGGGGATCAGGTATTACAGGTGTAAATGATTTAAGAACTTAAAATTCAATAGCAAATATGAAAGGGTATCAAATCAAAGTGGGGCAAACTGTCATTGGAAATCACGTTGAAGTTCAGGATGATAATGCGCGTCAAAGCCGCTGGACCTATTCCATCCACCGATCGATTTGCCTGGCAATCGTCGCTGTAGAACGAGTCTGCGCGTCAACAAGGCATTCCACCCACGACGTGATGCTCCTCTGACGGTGGTTGAAGCTGTCGAACACGTACTTTTTTCTGCTTGACTGATCATAGCCTATGTATGGCCCACCATACTAAAAAAAAAAAAGCAAAAGTGGGCCGAAACCAATGCGTACTTTTTTTTGGTGTCTAAACTTCAAAGTTTAGCTAAGCCGAAAAAAAAACCATTAAAAATTTAATGGGTTTTTTCATCTGAATGCCATCCCGGCCAATCAGCATGCGTACCGACGAGTTTTAACTACTAACTTATTAGGGTTAAAAACTGACGGGCCGGGCCGATTTTGGGGGCCTTGCCGTTACTTCAGGAAGGTGGTCCACGTAAATGATTGGAAATTAGGTGAACCACATCATGGCAGACGCCAGTGTTACAAAACTAGATACTCGTCCCTTGATTCGAACCTGTTCCCAGGGTTCACTTCTCAATTCTCCATCTATTAATAACGGTCACAACTCCAAAAATAATCCAACGACAATGGCTCCGTCGACAAAAGCTGCTCAGGTGAACTGCTTCTGTTGAATCATGCACCAGTCTGCCATTAGTTTAACCACGTATTGTTGCAGAATCTTTCGTTCGTGCTCGAAAAAGTGGGCGTGGTCAAGTTCGAAGATCGTCCCGTGCCTGAGATTAAGGACCCACACGATGTGATCGTGAACGTCCGCTACACGGGAATCTGTGGCAGTGACGTCCACTAC